TTTAGATTGGAGGTACTTATTAGTGAAGGATATATGGTTCAAAAATTTTGCCAAAGTGTCGCAGAACTTTCCTTTCCAACGTAGTAGCAACGGTCTTCGTAAATACAAGAGATTTTACACACTATACAGAATCCCCACCTTGACGTGATTGGTGGATTTTTTGAAGCACTCGAATGCGTTCCAAGAGTCTGTCGTCGTCCTTTATTGAGGCACTGACCTAGAAACAAGGCTTCTCTAGAAAACTGTCACCGCAGATAGCGAATCATAAAAATATCCACCTGGGAAATAAAATTGTCCAGATTTTCCTTCACGGCTAATCCAACACTGCTTGCACCAACATCATCTGTCTGAATGGTAGAAGACTGTAGTAACAAGCTGCCGGAGAAATGGTTCATTACCTGCACGAAGTCGAACGCAGTGATTGTGCCCCGTCGCTTTCGGTTTCGACTTGCCCAGCTTTCCTTTATCGTCGATATGGTATTTTTCCTTTCGGGAAACTCCATTCGCAGAAGCCATGGAGCCCATTCAAGTAGTATAAATCGCATCTGAAACCACTGGTCCCGTTCCCAGTTTCAAAGTAAAACAGAATCGCTTCAGATAATCCACAAGACTACATTAAAAGCATGTCCAGCGACTACATATTTGCGTAGTTTTGTATGAGGCTGTAGACGCAAAGTAATTTTCCAAAGAGAAAAGGGAAAAGAATCCTTTCTGCTCTTCATGAAGACCCTTGCCAGGCCCGCAGTCGTACTACGAATCTGTTGCATAAATATACAGGGGGGGCCAAAAAAAGTCACTTTGCCTCATTGACTTTCGAGGCGCTATAAATTACACTTTATCAAATTCTGATCGGACATTTTTACTACCATATTGAAGAGCATATTAAGTACTATCACGACACTCCGCCACAGCCTTCTGGACGAACGCCATCGAGAGATTCTGGCACGCGACCGCGATGTGGTACCTGAGATCAGCGGGGTAGTCGATTTCTCCGCCACTGTAGACCACCCTCTTGAGCTCGCCCGAACTAGGTAATTGAGTGGGTTTAGGTCAGGGGACACTTCAATATTACATCTTCTTCAGGTACGAAACGCCCTTCCATTCGAAGTAGGCGGGAGTTTTTCCAAAACCCTTTGATTCCATGTGGTGGCACCCAAACCTGTAGCAGCACAAGGTCTCCAAGAAGGTAGGCGAACCAATGTAGGGGGATATTCTCCTCGAGTTGCTCGATGTAGCCACCAGCGCACACCCTCAGTCTGGGCCCACGAAGAAAATATCGGTCATCCATTCCAGGTACGGCCGGTCCACACCATCAACCCGCGCCTTGGTGAATGGGGTGAAGATGATGTCCTAGACCGTAGCGACGTTGCCGTAGCTGCTCGATGTGGGAGGTCTTGCAGATCAAGAGTACTGACCTCCAGGTAGCTATCTGTGGATGACTTCATTCAAGAAGTTTCGCAGCTGTTTGGAGGCGACGTGAATTCCAAAGGTGTTCTCCAGTCAGGCCGCGACTGGAGATGACTTCATATTTTGGCGTACATGAAGGGCAGCCTGCTCCAGCTTATAGAGGAAGATCTTGGGTATCTTCCACTCTGGTACTCATATCCACTTCCCCTGTCTGGGCTGCGAAAACTTCGTTGATATGTGGCTCGGCCGAAATGACTTTTTTTGGCCCCCCTGTATACCCTACGGTTTCTTTGCATTTCCTGCCTCACAAATCGTTTTCATTTAGTACCAAACGCCATTCAAGAGTGAAAGTAAACGAAAAATACTATAAAGAAGCTCCAGGAGAAAGCCGGAAAACTCTTTGCCAGATTAGGGCTACCTGACGATTGAACGCACTGATACGGACGTCACCAATGGGTTGGAGTTAGCCAGCGGAGCCATATGCACCCTCCCGGGCAGGTCATCCAGTTACTTATGTTTTGGGTTTTCACTCATAGATTACAATTTACGCCTATTTCTGATTGTGGCCATATGGATTTGCAACCGTTCAATGAGTTCCTCATTTCGACTGTCATAGGACCTTTTCATATTCTTATTTGGAGAACTTTTCGACGCATTCCAATCACATATTCAGAAATTTCGTTTGACCCATATCAGACAACTTACGCGCTTCCCCAGGCTGAGATTTTCGTTTGCCAGGTTGGTGCCGTAAACTGACCTATAGGGAAAACTTGCCCACGACTCCCGCAGCCAACACTACCAAATGAATTGCTTTTCAATGCATGCGTCTTTTTCAGAGATAGATTTCGAGCACGAGCGCAATCAGCAATTGTCAGCACACTTCCAATCCCGCGAAGTACAACAGAGTTAGGCAGTCCACCAAGTTGCAGTCGCTCACCCAACAACGGCCCACCGTAAGGGTTGCAAGCAGACGCTTCCCGACCGTGTCTCGCACTTTATAGAGGAGATGTTGCGGTACATCTCTAATTACAGACTAGGTCTCTACTTGATTGCGCGACGTTTCTACTGTACCGCGAAACTACAAATCTCACGAAAAGGGCCCAGTTATCTTTGTTTCACAAGCGCCACTACAACAGTACAAGCTTAGCCAGACCTATGACCGAAAAGTCCATCAAAGCCAAACCATCACAGGCACCTGCGAGGACTGTCTGCTACATCGAAATGAAGAGCCGCAGTTTGCAGCAACGAGCAATCTGTCCGCTCAAAGTTGATGCGAAACCGGGCTGGCAGGGGTATGATACTCGAGCGTCGTCTCCATACACTGCCCGCGCTGCCGTATGGACAGTGACACTCCTAACCAAACGCGTTATGTGTCCGCGCCCTCTCACTTACAATTGTTTAGCTGACGCTGAGTGCGTATTCCGCTCCGGTACCTTGGTATCAACGCAAGCGCCACCTTGATTATACCACGGCGGAGTACGGAGGCATATTGCTTTGCAGCCTGCACTTTCGAGCAGAAGAAGTGGCACGCTACTGCACCTTCGGACGCATTCACTCGCACATGGACGGGACTGTTCTTTGAAGTCAGTGTACAGTTTTTGCGCACGTAGTCAGACATAGCAGTACAAATCTAATTTTGCGAAAAAAGGCGGACTAAACACTCTAACAAAACGCGCTATTGACCAGTGGGGGGAGTTATAACAGTGCGGGCACTTTGCGGCGGTCTGCCCGCAAAGTGCCGCACTGTTATAAACTCCTTCAAATGAGGCTGAAATGAAAAGCCAGACATAGTAGATTCATCTCTACGTGGCGAATCCAAATTGGTATACACACGCTGTAATTGCAGATCGCGCTTCTTTCTCCGTTTTTTTCTTGCTATTTTTTTGCTATAACTCGATTTGTGTGAACTTTTCTTGTATAGAACCCTATACTGCTAGACTCAGCTCGTCGAGTTCTATAAGCTGGCATCCTAAAAAACTGAAAAAGTCGAAAATTGAACTGTGCTTCCTATCGAAGTACCTGAGGACACTCGTTAGCGAGCGAGTCTCGCTATAATTGTAACCAGAGGGTAAACGTTGGGAATTAAATCATTCTTGAATCAAATAACGTACTGTATCGCGTGGAAAGCTTGATTTAAATATCAGATAGTGGTTCCCTAATTCTGCCTGCGGGCATTTTGTGCCATATCTCCTGGAAAATGAGGGATTTTTTTTTCGCTCGATCTCAACTTTCAAGCCATATAGCCTTTTCAGTCCGAGAAATCTCGAGCACTGGTTCAGTTCGGACCACATGAGCACGACGGGCCTAATGTATGGAGTCCTGCTTTTCCTAGTGTTGATGTCAAGAATGCCATTCAGAAGAGGGGTTTCCAACTACTTAAGATGGGTACATTCCTAAAAAAAAAAACAAAACCCGATAAAAAAACTAGAACAAATGCTCGATTTTCACCACGCCCCCCCCCCCCCCCCCCCCCTTTTCAAACATTCGCCCGCGCGGGTAGTCAGTACATATGTTAGTAGGCTGATCTAAGGGTAGCGGAATTTTCAAATATTTGCTGCTCAATGGACGAAAAAGTTTTGCTGCTTTTGAACTTGTTTCATTACACTGACCTCAGAACTATTCTTTAACTACCCTTTTTTTCAGGTCAACGTTCGGGCCCGAAATTCATTACAAGAATGCTGAGTAATGGGCAAGGCCTAGCATGATGCAGGATAGGGCATTCGAACCGTAGCGGGTGGCCCTTCCGAGGTCAAGAGTTTTTCCCATAGCTCAACGTTCTCGCGATAAGATATTTTTGCAGTTAGACCGCTCTGAATCATGGAAACTCCACTAACCCAGAATGCCATACGAAGCGTGTTGTGGTGGCTACGAAAATGGTAGCTCTGCACGAACACGGTGAAGGAAGTTGCTAGCACCGAGATCACCATGCAGCTTTGAAAAAAGACACCTGTAATTGGGATAGCTGAGGAATGGAGGAAAAGCTAACGGAATGTGTAGCCCAAAGAATTGCCCGAAAAGACTCAGTGAGCTGATTTCCCCTGCTAAAATCGAAGTCCTCACCAAGCAAGGGCACCGCTTCAGAAGTGTGTGGAGTCATCTCATTCATTATTGTCAGGAAAATGCAGATAGCCAAAGATACGGAGATCTGCAGACCGACTTTTTCACAAGTCTCTGGACTAAGAGTGAACCCGAGCACCACCAGTACCATGGTCAGCATGCACGGCATGATCAAGTTGAACGCATAGTACCTGGTTGGAAAGGAAACGATTAATGGAGTAAAATAACAGAAACTAAGAAGAAATTAATCTAATTTTTTCTGAAATGAAGAATACTCAAAACGCGGACGACCCTTTTTCGTCTTCTCTCATCCCATGGTACGCGCTCGTATCACATAGGATTTATTTTGGATGTCGCAGCTAAAAAACCATTCGCCGACTGGCGAAGAAGCAAAGAAATGCGTGCGGGGCTCAATGCTTGATTGTGCATTTTCGTTCATTTAGTGTTCCCACGCCCTCTTTGGATATGTAGCCCACCTTATTGAAGATGGTGGACGTACTAATTCGCAAACCCAAAATGCGCAGAGACGCGCTGCCCGCTGGCGGAGGAGTCGCGGCCACCCGCCCACCTGGCGCACCACAACGGCCCAACTTGCATTCTCTGATCGAGATCCATGATCTTTTGGCGTAGCCTGATCCTCACATGCGGTCTTCGCGTTACCGAGAAGTAGAAAAAAATGAGTGTTTCTGAATGAGTTCAAGCGTGACGTCTTCCATGTTCGGATGTTGATTAGTGTAAACTGTAACCTACATTGCTGTGCCAGTATCCAGCGACATCGCTTCGAAGTCACTTCGAGGCAAAGTCCGCTATCATTCGCCATCACAAAACCCCATTTTGATCCCAGTCTGTAGGTGCGCAATTAACTCCATCACACTACGCCTCCATCCGCACAGCTGATTCCCGATAAGAACTCTACGACCGTACAAGTGACGATTTTCATGCTTTTTCGTCCTGCAGCTTCGTTTTTCACTGAAAGGCGGCCTTGAAAGCGGAGTCTGGAGGCTGAGTCAATGGAAAAAAGGAGGTGCATCGAACCTATACTGCGCTATTGCGCCTCTCCGTTACAATTTTTGCCACGAAACCGGTAATGTTGTTCGTCGCGGACCATACCACCCTGTCGACGCCATATTTCAAATTTTGTACCTGATCGCGGACATGTTTAAAGATCTCCGGGACACTAACCGATGTTTGGCAGATCATATTGGGTGAGGCAGGGTGGTAGCATTGCCAGCAAGACATCCCCTCATCCTAGGGAAGACTTGGGAATCTGGAGCTTTTGAATTCGCATGTTTTGTTTGTATCAGCTCCAGAGTTGATCTAACAATGATAATCGGGTGCTCACCTTCATCCAGCGGCTTGGTACCAGCGAGCCGAACGTTCTCTGCCTTGGAAACTCCCACCAAGTAGTTCCAAAGAAAATGAACAAAGTTGTGTTATGTGAAAATTAGCGTTCAGTAAGAATTTTCCGCGCTATTTCTGATGTAAAGCCGCCATGCACGCTGGCGGTCGGTTTCAACG